GCCCCGAACCCCGCTCGAGGTACCAGGAGACCAGACTCAGACATGTGGGGAACTCCTATTTTAGCGTCTCGAGAGGCCAGAAGGGCGATTCCCCAAGCCCGCGCCCCCTCCCCGGCCCGTGCGCTATGGCTCTCCGGCAGGGCGAGCGGAATGCGCCGCGGCGTCCACCGCGCGGCCAGCGCCGGACTCCGGGTCCCGGGCTAGGGCTGGGGCTGCGCCGTTCGCAGACCGGCTGCTAAGAAAACGTGTAAACACCCCGGCGGGGGCAAACAGCTTGCGCGCGCGAGCCGCTCCCCTGGCTGGGCTCTCCCCCAGCCCCTCCCGGCCATCCCCGCTTCCCGGTGCTGTGCTGTGCGCGCGGACAGACGGACGCGCTTCTGGGGTCCCCAGGCCTCTCTTTCACTTTTGGCACCCCTTTCCCCAACGTCTCCCCGCACCTCCGTTTATTCTTTGCAAGCGGAAGGTAACGCGCGGCGGGAGTCGGTGCTGGGGAGACCTCGGCCTTCGTGCAGGAAGGGGAAGGGGTGCAGCGTCTCCCCGGACCCCTGCAATCGGGGTGTTCGTTCTCGAAGAGAAATGACCTGCGCTCCGTCGCCCCGCCCCGGGAGCTGAAGCCCCGGCAGGTAGCGGCCCGATTACCTGCCCGCCCGCGCCTAGCTGGCTTCCCCGGGCCACGGACGACCCGGGAAGACCGGCAGGCCCAAGACCCCTTTGCTCGCCTGCGGGCGAGTGCGGCGTTCCGGCAGGATCGGAGCCCTAGCCCCACACCCCCTCGGGGGCCAGAGTGATCGGAGGGCGGCCGCGAGCGTCTTTTTAGGGTCTGCGCACGCTCGGCGAGGCCCGGATCCTCACACAGGCGCGTCCAGCTCCCCTATCTGGACTGGGGTAAAGGAGGAGACGGTAGGTGTAGCCCCCTCCGTCAGAAGCCATAGCCCCAAGGACGCAGGGGCGTCCTGGATTGTCTCACCCCCAGCTCCTTCCAAGGCCCACAGTCGACTGCGTTGCCAAGGAATAGGAGAGAAGACGCCGGGAGGGCCGGCCAGGGCAGCTTCTGGTCCGCAGGCCGTTCCTTTCGGCCTGCGGGAAAGATTTTTAGTATTTGCCTTGGAAATGAAATGAATCCATCGAGGCCTGGGCGCTAGCAAAAGCAAGTCTTAGAAGAAGCGTTCTCACAATTCCAAACATTCTGTCATGTGTTTATTTGCTTCTCTCTTTCTCTCTCTCTCTCTCTCTCTCTCTCTCTCTCTCTCTCTCTCTCTCTCTCTCTTTCCTTTAAAACATGAAGAAGAAAAAAAAATGAGAAACTTCTCCAAGCCCTTGGGTATTCAAACTCCAGGGCAGAAACCTTTAAGGGCTTCTTGGTCCTCTCAGGCTACATCTGGAGCTCAGCCTAGGACTGGGGGACAGATCCAACCCTCAGAGGGCACTGATTGCCCGCTAGGTACTCCACAGGACTTAGGACAAATAAAATATGCAAGATGGGTTATGTATTTTTGCAAGGCAAGGAATGACGGAGTGGCACTGAAATAGTCTCATCTTCAGGACCTCTGGTTTGCTCTGGTGACACGGGGCAGGAGGATCTCCACGTTGTTAGTTACACTTCTGCCTAGTAGTTACCTGGGTGGCAGCTGTGGTACAGGTTCTGTGAGCGTGGATGGCGGAGGGGGAGGAGCCGGTGCACAGTTCTGGGTTTGTACAAAGCAGGCACAGCAAGTCCAGAAAGTTTGTCTGGCTGTGGGCCGCTGCTCAGTGGCAGGCCAGGCCTGGAGTCTGGATCCAGAATCCCAGACCCATGTGCTGGCCTTGGTAGCAGTCTTCCCAGCTCTCTGCCTGCCAGGCTCACCGGCCAGGCAGGACGACCACCCTGAGCCATAGGCCTGCAGCAGGATCACTGCAAGAAACTGAGTCTTTGCAAAGGTGTACAGGGAGGAAAGATGTGCTCTGTTTTCAGTGCAATGGTGAAATCCAGAACACTTGAAATACACCTCTCAAAGTCCGGTGTCTGCCAGGAAAGGGAGAACCCCTCTTAGAAGCCGTGGCACCTCCAGGGATAGCTACCTGTGCCGGGGGCTTTACTTCCCTCTCCCCTCGCCTCAACCACTTTGGGGGAACAGCAAAGCCTACCTCTAGAGACACAGGCAGGCTGAGGGCCAGCCAAGAGCAGAAGGAAGCTCTAAGAAAGGACTGGGGCAGAGGGAGAGGAGAAAATACCAGAGCAACTTTGTGCCCGCTCCTCCCTTTCATTCAAGCTCTGCTTGGAAATAAAAGCAGCAGCACGCACCAGTGAACTTCCAGCTCTTACCCTGTTTAATTGAAACCCAGTACGGGAAATAGTAATGGATATTGTGCTCAAATTGAGAAAACGTGTCCGAGGCTAGCAGGGGGCAGTTAGTTCAGCAGATTTGGAGGAGCCCATCTTTCTCGGGCCTGTCAACCTTCCTGACAGTAGCGGCCATTGAATTTGCCATGCCCTCTCGCTTACAGGTCTGCCTGTCCCCTCTGCTCCAGCTGCACCCAGGGGGGGAGACCCTCACTGCCCGGGCATCAACAACACCAGTACCAGTGGGAAGAATCAAACAACAGGAAACCACTGTGATTTCTCCAGCCCAAATGTCTCTGCACTTAAGGACTGGGGAATGCTTGGCTCTGTATCTTTTTCTTCCATCCCCTGAATGTATTTTTCTCCCTTAGCTCCACACCCCATAAGCCAAATCAGGGCACCAGTCACTCAGAGGCCACTGACATGCTTACCTGTGTTGGCTGAAAATCTGGAAAGATGGAATTGAAGAAAGGTATGGGGTAGTCAAAATGCCCGGGGCAGAAGTCAGCTCTGGCCGGCATCAGGCAGATTCCGGGTCAGATAAAAGGAAAGGAAAAAATTCCCAGCCCTTCCTTGTGAATTCATTTCTGCAGAACTAAGTAATGCCCAGTGCATTATCCCCCCGCCTTTTGTAATTGGGTAAAACACACACGCACAAAGACAGCACTGAGGATGTAGATTGGCTTGAAATTAGGAAACCACAATTAGTTCCTTTTCCTGAGAGAGGAAAAGAAACCTTCACAGATGTATAAAAATCACCCTCCCTGACACACACACACTTCTTCACCCTACCCTCTCCCATTTCCTTTCCAATTCATCTCAATCACTAGCTGTGCACAGATTTGCCATTTTGCGGGGTGCTCTGCTTTGATGAAAGGCGGTGGGTGTTAATAAGAATAATACAGAGGGTGAAACCTTTTCATTTAACCCCTGCCCAAAGCGTATTTACATTAAGAGCTCTGATAAAGGTGGACTCAAGTGCTTAAGGAACGATGCCCTAGAAACGGCATAAGGCAACTGGCGCCAAAGTGAGTCTCCAGACTAAAAATACGGCTTCCCCCAGCTAGACAACTTTGACAGTCTTCCTTCTGCACACGCGCTCCAGACTCTTGCGCTGAATTGACCTGATCAATAATTTAGAAGGATGTCAGAGGACAGAAAAATTCTGCATACAGGAAAGCCCTTGCTGTTGGAGCAAGGCGGAAGCTAGGAGCTGGGGCCTTGGAGCCTCTTGCCCGGGGCTCCTACTCGCAAAGGGGGTAGGGGGTTCTCAGAAGAAAAGAGGCAGGGATGGGGGCCAACTTGGGATATAGGTGACTGGAGATGCCAAGGAGTGAACGTGCAATTTCCAAGCCAGACAAGGGGGCCAAGTCATTCTCTATCGCTGATGACAACGTACCTCTCCCCAGCCAAGGCGGGGAGGGGAGGGTGTTTGATTGGGCCCTAGAAGAGCGCGCTTCAGTCCGTCAAGGTTAGTGGAAGGCAGAAGGGAGACAGAGACACCCAGCTGGAAAAGCAAAGAAACCCAAGAGAACCAGAGCAAATACAGAGGATGAAAGGCTAGAGAGACAGCAAACAAAACTAGAAGGAACAGCAAGAGAAGTCAAGGCTGGAGGACAGGCAGACAAGGAGGAGAAACAGAAACCAAACACAAGAGAGATGGGAGGGAGGGAAGGACAGTAAAAGGCAACAGAAGGAAAGGTCATACACCTACATCCAAGAACTGGGCATGGAGAAACAAGAAGATAAAAGAGACTTGTCCTGTCTGGTCCAACCAAGAAAGAGGCTCATGCCTGTCCAGACCAGAGGGACATACAAGTGGACCCTCCCACAAAGCCCCCAGCCGCCTCACCCGAGAGAAACTCAGCTCTCTGAGCAGGCGCTGGGGAGCAGGAAGTGGGGAAGACCCTGAGTTCAAGTCTCCAAGATGAAAATCAAATCGGTGCCCTGGGTCTGTGCAGGGGTCTAGTACTGAGTTCAAATCCTCACGTGGAAAAGTCAGAGTCCAGGTAACCCAGGGGTGTGTGTACAGGAAGGACGGCGGGGTGCCAGCAGGGACTTGCAGGATGAATCTCAAACAGCAAAGCTGGTGTTCCACAGGGAGCTGTTTCTCAGACACCCTCCATAAAGAAAGTCACTTCTCCAGTTGGGCAAACTGAGACCCTAAGAGGACGGAAGCCTTGGGAGGGAAGGCACAGCGTCACTCGCAAAGCTCAGCCTTATCAGAAGGCCCAAGGGGCTGGGGATTTAGCTCAGCGGCAAAGCACCTGCCTGGCAAGCGCAAGGTCGTGAGTTCAGTTCCCGGTACGGGAGAAAAACCAAAAAAAAAAAAAAAAAACAAAAACAAAAACAGAAGGCCGGAGATCCCAGCATCCCGTGGACCAACAGACCACTTCTACACCAAAAGTCCCTGTCCTGGAAAAGCTGACATACTGACCGCCCCTCCCTGCTCTTTAATTAGGCTGCAGACCCCAGGAGAAGCACCGATGCCCTTATGTCAACAGATTTCCCAATGCACAGAGCAACACCTCGTCCTGGATAAAGCTTGGGCGCAAAGCGGGGTGAAAGTTGAAGAGGGGATAAGCGTGTAATAGTCCCTCGCCAGACCTCACACACGCTGGAGGATATTTACAGCAAACTTGCCAAAGTAAACTACCCCGCCTACCTACCACCGTGCCCCCTCCTCGCCTTTTTTTTTTTTTTAACTTTAGATAAACACCATTCGGTCACCAAGGGGTCGATGTGTCTGTCCCCCTTGAGGGCTTGAGGCAGGCAATGGCACTCAAGGAAAAGTGGAACCAGCAGTAGTAGCTTCCCTGGCAGCTCTGGGCAAGGCTAGCTTCTCTGAGGCACCCGGACCTGGGCTAAGGATAGCTGCTTTAGCTTTGTGCGCCCCCTTCCCAATGCCAATTTAGTATTTCAAGTCTCCTACCGTTAACCCTTGCGAATATAAGCACCCTGTCTGCAGACTCCATTACACTTAGGGAGAAGAGTTTTTAACTTTATTTTTTCTTAAGTTCCAGGTAGCAACTTTTTTTTTTTTTTTTTTTTTTT